TCGCCAGGAGAAAAATTATGATGACCTCTTTTGCTGGTCGGGTTCTACTGTATGTGTGAGTGTGTGAGGGAGATAGAGAGAGACAGAGAGAGAGGGGGGGGGGGGGGGAGACTACTTAGGAAAAGTGTTTCTCTTAGCACGAAATTAAAAAGACCACAACACATTTTACGATGGCGACTTTGTTTACTTCCGATTCTCCTCATTGAGTGACACTACGTCGCTCCCTTCGCCCCTTCATTTCAGACGTCTTTTGTAGAAAATCCCCCACCGCCACTCCAAAGCCCCTTCCAACCCAACCCACCCCGCCTTCCCCTCTTCCCTGTCGCCACTTCAGCCGGTCGCCAACCTGACCAGCTGCGGGATCAGTGTCGGCTGAGACTGTTTTATTGCTCTTGTTTCGTCCCTTCAATAGAGTTTCGCGAGCAAAATGGTCGTTTCGAGGAGTTTGCCGCACGCGGACGCTGACAATGGATGGAAAAGGGGGGGGGGGAAGGGGCCCGCGTGGGGACTCTTGCCTGTCGAGACACGGCGAAGACGACTCAACTGCTTTTGGCCCGGGCGGGGCCCCACCGCCGCGCGAGGCTCCTTGTAAGATTAACGGGCCATTTAGATTCAACTAAATGCCCCTCGTTCGCCTTAGTCTTTTGCAAAGTCCCTGCTCACTCCCGCACTTTCTATCTCTTTCTCTCTTGCTCTCCCCCTATCTCTCGTGTGCTCTCTCCTCTTGCTCGCTCTCTCTCTCCCCTTGTCTTTCCTCTCGCTCGCTCCCCCCTCACTCCCTCTCTCTCTCTCTCTGCTGCCACTCCCTCGCTGCCCACCAAACCCGCCCGGTCATGGCGGCGCGATTTCTCTCGGCCTTCCAATGGACTGTACTCAATGACAGGGTACTTATGCCTGTCCATTCTGGGGCAGAGCTGAGGTCCTCTCGCGTATAAAACGTCGTCGAGCTCTGTGTACTGCGGTTGCGCTTCGTTGCTATCGGGTGGTCTGGCTTAACGATGATGATTGTTTTTCTGTTTGTTGCAGGTAAGGGCGAGGCACTTGTGCGTGGTTAACGTGCAACTTTCGCGAGGGTCCGGTACCGATCGATCAGTGAGTTATTCAGAGTAACGGAGAAACTTTTTCGTGTAATTATCTCGACGCCACGAACCTCGATAATTTGGGGTTCGCTCCTCGGTTCGCTCTAAATTTCCCTCAAGGCCGGGTGAGTCTTATTCCTTGTCAGACAGAAATTCTTTGATTCTTTTCACAGTGTCATATTTTACATTTCATCCCTAGAAAAACAATTGTTGCGCGTACGCAACGTTTCTTGACGTGATCTCGGGAGAACACGTTTACTGATGCATTCTCTGTGACGCTCCTATCCTTTTGTACTTCGAGTGGATCGCATCAAGAAACGTTTTCTCACGCGAACACGTCAAGAAACGTTGCGTCGCAACACTTTTTTTTCAGTGATACGCTTTAAAAGTATAATGTGAAAGTAACGAGAAAATGTTACTACCCACACGAAATTAGGTCGCAGGAGCCAGAAATTAAAACCTGAAAGAGACATCTTTGACTTACGTTTCTCTTTTATTGGTATTAATTTACATTCCAGTTTATTTAAATAGAACATTACATATGCGCGGCATAGTCGTTGTTTTACGAAAATGCTTTTGACAGTGACCTTATCCCCTCTGTGCCCCGCGTGAAAGTGGGTTGCATGACG